GTAGTTAAAGAAATAATATGACCCTTTACAATTCTGTATAACAAGCTATGCCAGATTCCCCTTTTGAGGTTGGTTTCCTTGTTAGAAGATAGGTTGAAGCTGTTTTACACACTAGTCTTCCACTAGGAGGCAAAGCAGGTGATTTGGTTCCTGGCTGTAAAGAAAACATTAGAAGGGGAGAAGTTGTTTCATTTTTAAAGGTTGAAACTTAAAGGGGAAACACTTTTTAAAACTAATATGTATCTAATGGAGTGTATATAATATATATCTGAGAAAATTACCTATGACTTTTTAAAGTTGAACTCTACTCTTTTTTTTTTTTAATATTTATTCATTTATTTATTTGGCTGCACTGGGTCTTAGTTGCAGCACGTGGGATCTTCGTTGTGGCACGTGGGATCTTTTAGTTGTGTTATGTAGGATCTATTTCCCTGACCAGGGATTGAACCCGGGTCCCCTGCATTGGGAGCGTGGAGTCTTAACCACTGGACCACCAGGGAAGTCCCAGTTGAACTCTACCCTTACCAGCAAATGATGGTATTACATTTTGAGAAGGGAAATCCGACTGTACCTTAATCACTCTTGACAATATAGTAGTTCTAGAAGCCTGAACATTGAGAAGGGGCAGTAAATAATAATACGGGGTAGAGAAAAGTTATTCTGGCATTGCAGATGAAAAATTAAAATAAAGAAGTGAGTTAAACTTTGTACATGTTAACCCTGAGTATGTAGTTGATGTACAAAGTAATGACTGTGGGTCAGCCAGAAAAGGTTAAAATACATTCATTAATATTTATAAGAAAGAAGTGTGTTTTAGAATGATTAAAGTGGTTGAAGTCTTATTGCATAAAGGAGTAAATCTCAGTTATCTGGAAAATTAACTGTGGTATCTATGGAGTACCTTTTTGCTTCTTAAAGGAAATGTTAATGCATTATATTGAGGTTACTACTGTAATAGAATCTTCTAAAATTTGTGAATGTACTCCTATCTGTTTCTGGAATCTATTCCAGGTATAGCACGTACTCAGGCAATTTTATAATCTAGAGAAATATGGAGCAAAGGAGCAAATAATTGGTTAGCTAGGATATTGAGTGCAACACAGAGATTAGCAAAGAAGAAAAGCTATACAAATAAATGCTTATAGATGACTAGTCTCATGTTTTTTCATTATTTCTGTAAATGCATCTCATGATGTATGTAATCAGTCATAGTTATTTAACTTCCTTTCTTGTTCATTGCCTCTTTCAGGACCATGGTTTGTTGGTGAAATCACTAAAGGCAAATTGGGTTGCTGCTTTTCCTTTGGGATCTTTGTTGATGGACATTTCCTACAAGGCAGTGTAACGTTTATAGTTGGAATTCTCCAGGTAAGAAGTCAGAAACGCAATTTAAGAACATCTTGGCCTTGTTGGGCTAATTGCATAATAGTTATGAATTAAATCCCAAATCCCAAAGTTAACACCATAGATCATGTTTTCTAATTTACTGGCAGGGCAGTCTTTAGTATCTGGTGTTTTGTTTGCTTTTAGAGTGCTTCCTAAGTTCTTTCTTCCACCACTCTTGTAAACATCTAAAATACATTTTTGGCAGGAAGTTTTATAAGAGGTGAAAGAGCTTTTTGTTTTTGTTGTTTGTTTCACTGTGCTTTTTCATCAATAAACAGTGAAAGAAGAGACTTATGGTAGAATAAATGAGACTTCTGGGTAAAACAAAATTGGTTATGATAATGAAGAAGGAAATTGTTTCAGAGGGAGGAAAAGAAAAATAGACACACAAGAAAAGTGGGTCAGGGCTTCCCTGGTGGCGCAGTGGTTGAGAGTCCACCTGCCGATGCAGGGGACACGGGTTCATGCCCCGGTCCGGGAAGATCCCACATGCTGTGGAGCAGCTGGGCCCGTGAGCCATGGCTGCTGAGCCTGCGCATCCGGAGCCTGTGCTCCGCAACGGGAGAGGCCACAACAGTGAGAGGCCCACGTACAGCAAAAAAAAAAAAAAAGAAAAGAAAAGTGGGTCAGTTACCCAGTGGAAGCTTTCTAGTGATGTCCTAGCAATACACTTGTTTATGAAACACTGATATGTTAGGTTTACATTTGGATTGAGATTCCTTTAGAACAAACACAAATTAAAAAAACCCAGACCTATAGCAAATTTCTATAAATGGGTTTGAAAACTATTTAACAATTTTTCTCTTGTACTCATCTGATGGGGCTAATGGATCAAAATCTGAGGTGATGATCTAGCGTTGTATAAGAGATCTGAAAACATTGTTTGAAATGAGTTCACAGCCTCATAAGAGGGCACTAAAACATGATCAGCAGGATTAGAGACAGACAAGTAGGGAAGATCTTTGCCTAGTGAACGCTGACCACAGACCAGAATATTCTCTGTTTAGCAGCATTTTATGTGGCTAGATCTGGGTCTAGTTCAGTTTTCTATTATGTAGATGGAGGCTGTCTCTCAGGAGCACTCTTGTTCCAAGTAAAACCTGACCCTTACCAAAAGGTGGGCTTATAGTCATATTTTAATAAATAGTACACTAAGAATGGATTTTATGTATCATCTAGGCCCGTGGCCTCTAAATCTAATATATCTCTGACCTAGACCTCTTCTCTGCACCTCAGGTGCCTATATATCCAACTGCCATTTTGCATCTTCCTTAGATATCTAACAGGAATCTCAACTTAATATACCTCTAACAGGACCTTTAATTTCTATCCCTGAGCCTGTTCCTCCCCCAGTTCTTTCCAATTTCAGTAAATTATCCAGGATGTATCTTCTCCAGGGTGTATCTTCAATTTTTCTCCTTCCCTCATACTTTATATCTAGCTCATCAGCAAGTAGTACCGTATTTGATCTACCTCCAGTACATGTGCTGAATCCACCACTATTACTGTTACCACCACCCTTGTCTAAATCATCATTATTTCTTGCCTGGGCTACTGCAGTAACCCCCTAACTGGTTTCCCACTGCTGCTTTTGCCTCCCTATTGTCAGTTTGCCACAGAGCATGCACTGTGGTCCTTTTAAAATCTCAATCAGCTCACTCACTTCTCAGCTTAAAACCCTTTAAGCAAATCAGTGACGTGATCTGGGTCATGCTGACTGCCCCAGTTTCCACCTGGCTTATGTTCCAGCTAACCTCTCCCACCTCTGGGCTTTTCATTTGTTTCTTCTGCCTGGAATGCACTTCCTTCCACTGACTCATTTCTGTCCTTCAGGCCTCAGAGGGCCCATCTCCCATTTACCTCCTGTGACCCAGTTATTTTCTTCATTGAATTCATCACAATCTGTAATTATCTTCCCCCTCCTTTTTTTTTTTTTCTTTTTGGTTTCTCTTCTCTCTACTAGAATGTAAACTCTATGATGCATCTTTTCCAACTTGGTCACCCATGTGTGTATCCCTTGCTTAGAGCCTTGCACAGTACCTGCCACATAATGGGTGTTCAATAATTATTTGGTGAATGAGTGACTCATGTAGTAGTTAAACTTGGATTATAACTTAAATCTTCTAATTTGTATTCCAGTATTCATTATGCCACTTCAAATAAAAATGCAGGGAGAAGAAAAAATACTGATACCCAAGTCCCCCCTCACTCTGCCAAAAATAAAAAAACAAAAAACAGAGTACTGTATGTATGTGTGTGTGTCTGTACACACACATATTCAGTTCATTTCTACCTTAAACATTATTTGAGGGCTTCAACATAAATGAAATGACACTTGCCTTTAAGATGAACAGAAGGATACAGGAAAATAAACAACTAACTACAAGTCAACTATTGTGAGTGTTATAAGCAAGTGTGATTGAAGCATAAAGAATCAGTTAACCCCCAAGAGGGAAAGCAACATATTTTTAAGAGCCACCAATAATATGTTAGTGAGACCTGACCCTTCCAGGGCTTGCTAATAAGCTAATGGTCCTGTTCGCTCTTTCCAGCTGGTGTTTTTTAACATCCCCTTGATGGTTTACCTGTGTTGGAGCTTGCTACAGCGGTGCTTTGGTCACAGCTTCAGGTCTCATCTCCATCAAGGAAAATACTTGAAAATTATACCTGTTCACCTACTTATGTTACTGCTGTACATCTGGCAGATTTATTCCTGCTACTTTCTTCATATGACATATGGTACTCTAGCTTTATTATTCTCCCCTTTGCGGACCTGGTTGACACTGGTGACGCCTGTTCTCATTCGTTGTGTGTGGACACTGAACTCTGCCGAGCTTGGAACCTTCATAGTGCAGTTAAAAAGCCACCTGAGCTCCTGAAGGCCATGTCTCATCATCCACCTGTGTCGCCCAGGCCTCTGCCCCAGCAGCAGGCGGAAGGCCAATATTGGTGGGCAAGCCTTGGACGTTCCTTGGACGCCTGGGAGTTGAGGGGATTACCCACTACTGATTCCTGTAGAATGGAGTGCAGAAAATTCTCTAAATAATGCCATGATTCCTTCCTTCCCCAAGAAGGCAAAGGGTTGATTTACTTTTGTGAAGAGAAAGCCCTAATATAGGAGATCCACAGGCCAGGGGCTGGTGGGTATGGGAGTATCTGCGGCCCACCCAGTGTGTTTTTTACGTTACCTCATGTAAAGTACCTTGCACAGTGTCTGGAACTCAGCAGCCTATAAGGACGCCACTTTAGGGGCAGGGAACCAGTGCAAACTTGGACCTGACCCTGACTACCCTTGATTAGTTCCGAGTCCTCTTTTCCAGCAGGGTTATGGGCTGTCTGCTTCCTCAGTCGGGGGTGTTTTCGAGTAATTAAATATCAATAAATGAATGATCATAACTCGGTCTGGGACTTGCCTGTGTCGCCGGGGCGGGGCAGGGCGGGGCGGGAGGAGGTGTAGCAGTGCTTTGGCGCGCGGAAGGAGGCGCGGCTGGGCCTCTGGGCAGGGCGCGGGGTGGGGCGGGTTGTTGCCGGAAGCGAACCCGCGGCCCGGAAGTGGGGCGGTCACGGCAGTGCGGCTCTCGCAGCGGCTTAGTCCGCGTACTCCTCGCGTCCTGCTGAGATGGCGAGCGCAGCTGCTCCTGCAGTCGCAGACTCCACCCTGCCCCCGCCTTTGGAGCAGCTCCGGCACCTAGCAGGAGAGCTGCGGTTCCTCCTTCCTGGAGTGCGGGGTGAGCTGACGTAGTGGGGACGGGCGACGGCCGGGACGCGCTTGGGTGGGAAGGGGCGAGGCTGTGGCGGCGACGGGGTCCGGGCGGAGGAGGTGGGGTCTGGAGGTGGCTCCGCTTACCTGTGCTCTTTCTTTTGCGGCCGCCGGGCCCGCACGCCGCGCCCACTAGTCGGCGAAGCCCGGGAGACCACCAAGGAGTTTGATCGGGAAACCTTTTGGAGGAGACTCCGTGAGTGCCTCTCCTGTTGCAGGCTGCCATCTCTCATCTCTTGCAGCGTCCCTACCCCTTTCCTTCCTGCTTTCCCCCGTCCCATCCTGTCTGTGGGGATACCTCGCCTTACCCATCTTCGGCACCTCTGAGATTGAGATAGAAAACACTGATTTGGAGTTGTTTTTTTGAGACGTCTCAGCCGGCAAGGGTGGAGAGGGAATGCATTATCTTCAAAGTCCATGCAGCCGCTGGAGCCTTATCCATTTGGCACTAACATATTGGCTCCTGCCTCCTCCTCTATCACCCACTAGGTGAGACAGCTATGGCAGTGTCAAGGGCAGCCACGACTCTGACCGAAGTCTTCTCTCGACTTCCACTGCCGTCACCACAGGTGGGCTTCACTTTCCTACAGTTCTTGTGATGCCTCGTTATTCCTTAGGAATCCTCTCATTTTCTTTCCACGTTTTACACTAAAAGCTGGGGATTTAATTTCCTCATCTGTCAAGTAAGATGGTGGTTCTCACATTACAGGATTTTTCTGAAGATCAAATTGCCAAATGCAGTAGCTGTCGTGGGGTGGGCAGCTCTTCTAAATATTGGTTCATTCTGAAGTTCATCCTGGTTATTTCCCTTCTCATAATTTTTTTAAAAAAGCACTTGGTATTTGCTAGGTGTTTTCACATACGTGATCCCCATCTGACAGATGAGTAAGCAGGCTCAGACGCTCAGGTTAAGGTGGATAAGTAGTGGAGCTAGGATTTAAATTAGGTTCTATCTAATGTCTAAGCTACACCTTTTTTGTTACACTACATAATACTCTTTTATATTGAATTATTTTTTACATTAGTAATAATGTAGACAGTATAAAATTCAAAAGATATCAAAGTTAAATGTGCTAAAAAGTTTATATCTTCTGTCCCTTGTTCCTTTTGTATTATTCCATATACATGCTATGCATATACACACTTATGTATATATACCTGCTTCTTTTTACACAAATGATAGGACACCATAAACACTTTTCTGGGCCTTTTTAAAAAAAAGGCTAACAGCATAGCTTGCAAATTGATTTTTGGGAGCATATATAAAGTTGCTCAGTTTTTTGTAATGGCAGCATGGTATTCAACAGAGTGGATATAACCATAATTTATTTAACCAGTACTGTGTGGACATTTAAGTTGTTTCCAGTTTGTAACTGTTATAAACAGTGCTGTGGTAGATTGCCTAATACAGTCTTTGTGTATATCTATATATCGGTAAAAATTCCCAGAAGTGGAATTGCTAAAACAAAGAATTTGTGCTTTATTATAAAACTTTATTATAAAATACTTGAAAGTAAATATTGTTGGCTGTGGCCAGGTATGCTCTATGTTCAGTTTTTCTAGAGCTAGGTGTACTTAATTTGGGAGTAAGTTTGTTTTAAAATGGCATATTCATTGCCTTATTTTATTTTCATAGTCAGTACTTTCATTCTCTTTCTCAATTATATATCTAGATGTTTTGAAATGAAAAAATCTTCTCTTGCTGCACCTACAGTAGTAAACTCTCTCCACTTACATACCTCAGAGATCTGAGATGAGGAAACGAGAGAATTGTATGAAAGTACTTTAAAAGTTTGTTGAAGAAAGTCAATCTTTATTTCAAAGGGAGTAGTAATGTTACCTTATTTTTCCTATGTGCTGACTCCTTTCTTCCAAATACACTTAGGACTTGTGGCTAAAATTCACAGCTAGTAAGATACCATGAGGAACAAGAATAGAACTAATTTTCTGTACATGCTCAGGACAGTGGTTTTTTACTCATTGATGAAAAGTTAGAATATGGTTTTATTTGAATTATATGTATTTGAATCACAATTGCTTTCTTAGGATCTCAGCACATTAGTTCTGTTAAAGAATGTTTGGGGGTTTTTTTGTTTTGTTTTATTTTAATTCCAGTTCTTATGGCTTGGTATTTTTATGAAATTATATGTTTGAATGTTGAAACAATGTCAAATTGGCATAAAAGTTTCTGAGCGCTCTCAATCATTGTATTTATCCATCCCAGACTGGTAACAGACCATTTATGGACTGGCACCAATCTGTGGACCACATTTTGCATAATGCTGGCTTAGAATTGAGCAGAGAAGTGAGGACAAAGAAGGTAAGAGAAAGCCAGTGACTGCTTTGAAGGAAAATAGTCAACATTGAGCATTGTAGAGTCCATGCTAATTACCTTTAGATATACTGAGATTCTGTTAGAAAGAGACAGAGACACACACAGAGGCAGAGAGACAGACAGCTTGTTAATGGTCTAAGATAGAGTTGGCAAACTTTTTCTATAAAGGGCCAGATAGTATACATTTTAGGCTTTGCAGACCAACTACTCAACTCTGCCCCTGTAGTGTGAACACAACTGTAGACAATATGTAATCCAAGAGTGTTGGGACTTCCCTGGTGGTGCAGTGGTTAAGAATCCGCCTGCCAATGCAGGGAACACGGGTTTGAGTCCTGGTCCGGGAAGATCCCACATGCCACGGAGCAACTAAGCCCGTGCACCACAACTACTGAGCCTGCGAACCTAGAGCCCGTGCTCTGCAACAAGAGAAGCCACCGCAATGAGAAGCCCACTCACGACAGTGAAGAGTAGCCCCCGATCGCCGCAACTAGAGAAAACCCACGCACAGCAACGAAGACCCAATGTAGCCAAAAAAAAAAAAAAAAAAAAAGGTGTGGCTGTGTCCCAGTAACACTTTATTAACAAAACCTGGCATTGGGCCTGATTGGACCCTTGGGCCCTAGTTTGCCAACTCCTGGACTAAGATATGGTGAATACCTCAAAACAGATCACAAATATCTTGGGTTATAGAGTATCAGGAATAAGTTTTTCCTGCTGTTTCTTCATGTCTTAATCAGTTGTCTGCTCAGTATCTGGTATCCAGCTAACTCCTCTCTGGTATGTTATGAGAATAGCACAGGGCCTAATTCATAATAGGACTTCAGAAAATGTTTGATGATGCAGTACAGATGTCTGCTCTCTTCCACAGTAGATGGGTTGACCACATTGATCTAATCCATTTCCTTTTTTCTTTCTGAAATTGGCTTATCACCTCATAGGAAACCCAGAAGTTCTCTGAACAAGTCCATGCTTCCATCAAGGCAATTATTGCAGTATACTATTCGCTTCCTAAGGATCAGGGTAAGCCACTCCATACACGTAAGCGTTCAGTTTATGGGATAGATCTTTGCTACTATGACAGCTTCTATCCTGGAACTTTTACCTTTTCCTCATTTTGAGCATGTAATGTAACTTTCTCCCATAAAGTGCAGTCAAAGATAGTTATGTAATATATGTGACCTCCATAAGTAAGCCTTTGTGCTAAGGTTCAGATGCTGTGTTCCCATCTCCCCTGCCTTGCCTGACTCTTTGTTTTAAAAATAAATTTATTTTATTTATTTATTTTTGGCTGCATTGGGTCTTTGTTGCTGAGCGCAGGCTTTCTCTACCTGCAGCGAGCGGGGGCCACTCTTCGTTACGGTGCACGGGCTTCTCATTGCGGTGGCTTCTCTTTTTGTGAAGTACAGGCTCTAGGCATGCGGGCTTCAGTAGCTGTGGCTCACGGGCTCTAGAGCGTAGGTTCAGTAGTTGTGGCACACGGGCTTAGGTGCTTCCTGGCATGTGGGATCTTCCTGGACCAGGGTTCAAACCTGTATCCCCTGCACTGGCAGGCGGATTCTTAACCACTGCACCACCAGGGAAGCCCTTGCCTGACTCTTAATATTTTTAATTCTCCCTGGCTCCTCCCTCTCTCTAACATTATAACTGCCACAGATGCTGGTTGGATATCAGCCCCATTCCCAGGCCCAGGCAGTCCCCAGGCTCCTCCACCCATATTACATCACATGCTGTTCCTGAGCTCCCTTATAGGTTAAGTGGCCTCCAGCCCTGCTTGTATATTCATGCCTTGATTATAATCATGCTATAATTATAAATGAGTACATGTCTCATGGATCTTCAAGGCTACTCTTGTAGTTTAAACTTGAAGTGTTTTATCCACAGTTGTCAAGAAGCCACTGGTTTTTTAAAAATTTATGTTTGGCTGCATTGGGTCTTCGTTGCTACACACCGGCTTTCTCTAGTTGCAGTGCATGTGCTTCCCGTTGCGGTGGCCTCTCTCATTGCGGAGCATGGGCTCTAGGTGTGTGGGCTTCAGTAGGTGGCATGTGGGCTCTGTAGATGTGGCTTGCGGGTTCTAGAGCACAGGCTTAGCAGTTGTGGCATACAGGCTTAGTTGCTTCGTGGCATGTGGGATCTTCCCAGACCAGGGATCGAACCTGTGTCCCCTGCATTGGCAGGCGGATTCTTAACTACTGCGCCACCAGGGAAGTCCCAAGAAGCCACTGTTTTTAATGAATGAATACATGCTGCCATGGAAAGATTTTGTTCCCGATCTCTTTTGGAAAATACCACTAAGGAATGGTGGCAGGAGCAAGAAAATGACATGGGGATATAAATAAGACCTGAGTTTTGTGTTGGCACTCCAGTTAAAGCATGTCGGTGCACATTACCTCAAATTCTGTAGGGCTTAGACTCTCAGGAAAGCAGATGGTGACTTCTGGAAAGACGACCAGGCTGCTTAGTCTTTGGGTTTGGCTACAGGAATCACCCTGCGAAAGCTGGTACGGAGTGCCACTCTGGACATCGTGGATGGCATGGCTCAGCTTGTGGAAGTGCTTTATATCACTCCAACTCAGAGGTAGTGATGCTACAGTTGGGGTTATTGGTTAATGGGGTGCCTTGTTTCTGGGAGGGGGGAAAAACTCATTTTAACAGCAAAGTTACTGATAACTGAGAATAATGACCAGCAGGAAGGACCTTTTAGGAAACAGGAACCTAGGTTATTGATACATCCTTATTGATTCCTTTCTACAGCCCTGAGAACCTTATTTCCTACAACAGTGTCTGGGAGGCATGCCAGCAGGTGCTTCGGATCCCAAGAGGTGGGTGAGAGTGCAAAGTGGACATTGACTGCTGGCCAAAGCAGATAGACCTCTCATATCTAGCTGCCATTTTTGTAGTAAATATGTATTTTTACTTATATAAAGAGCTTAGTGAAATAGATCTGGTTTATCACCAACATGAAAAGATAGGTATTAATACTTTTTGCCAGTCTTTTTAGTTCTCATAACTTCTAAATTCAAACACTCTCTGGCTGTGGCTCTGTCTCTTGTTGAAAGACATGGTTTCCTCTTCTGGTCCTGCCCCAGGGGCAGTATTTTTAGGACACTGAAGCAGTTATGAGGTAGAGCCTGCTAGGCCAAAAGCAGTGGTCATCCAAGAGGACCGTGATGAGAAACATCATATGACCATTTTATTTCTTCCTGTGGTGAATGACAAAAAGCTTTTCAACCCCTATCTGAGTACCCAGAGGATGTATGTGAGAAGAATTTTACATTAAACTGCTGCCCTTGTTGACTGTCCTTGGCACTCCTTTCAAATGGGAACATTGTTGCTTTTTGCAGACTTAAGAGAATTGTTGGGTTTCTTCTCTAATTGTAGTACTTCCAATTCTTCACTCATAGATAACAAAGCTGCAGCCCTTTCAGTGCTGACAAAGAGTGTGGATCTTGTGAAGGATGCACATGAGGAAATGGAGCAGGTGAGGGGACCTCTGTCTTTGATGGTCATCAGAAGGCAACTCTGTGTCTAGGTGAGGATTGGTTATAAAGAGAGAAGATGTGCTGAGCATTGACCAAATAGGTCCCATCCTCACTCCTGTCCTCCATCTCCTATCTCCCACCCCATGCTGGTGTGTGATTTAGTACCATTCCCCTCTGTTCCACTGCTGCGCTAGGAGAGTCAGAAGAGGGTTTATGAAGTGATTCAACTCTGTAGCCATTAGGGAAGTTAGCAGGCTAAAGTTTGGGGACAACTCGGACATGATGCTGAAAGTACAACACCTTTTAATTTTTTTGGCATTCACATGTATCATGGTGTGCCTTAGGCTGTGGAAGAATGTGACCCTTACTATGGCCTCTTGAGTGACATTGAGGAGGACAACTCTGACAACCACAGTGATGAGGAGGATATATTGGGATGTCCAAGCAATCGGGACTCATATTGGTCAGAGGAAGATCAGGAGCTCATAATCCCATGCCTTGCGCTGGTGAGAGCATCCAAAGCCTGCCTGAAGAAAATCCGGCTCTCAGTGGCAGAGAATGGGAAGAAGGATCAGGTGGCTCAGCTGGATGACATTGTGGACATTTCTGATGAGATCAGCCCTAGGTAAGTGTGATCTCCACTCAAAACATCTGAGCAGCAGCATTCTGATGTCAACTTGTGCCATCAACCCAAGGTTTTTCCCCACCTTTTTATTTTAAAAATTTTCAAACCTACTGGAAGGTTGAAAAGGTATTGCAGTGAGTACCTATACCTCCATCTAGATTCACCTATTGTTCACAATTTTTTCTGTATTGGTTTATTTCTCTATAATTAGAGGTAGCTTTTTAAAAATTGAAGTAGATGTGCCATTTTCATCCCTGAACCATTTGAGAGTAAGTTGCAGACATTAATGACATTTCACCCCTAAATATTTCAGTGTGTATCTCCTAAGAACAAACATTCTTACTCTTAGTATTACATTTAAGAAATTTACATCGACTATAATAATGTTATCTAATATTCAGATTTCCCCAGTTGTCTCTACAATGTCTTTTATAGCTTTTTTTTTTAAATTCAGGGTTCCGTCAAGGTGTCATACCACATTTGGTTGTCTTCTCTTTGGTGTCTTGCAACTACAACAGTCCCTGTCCTTTTTAGCTTCTTTTGACATTGACTGTTTTTTTTTAACATTGACATTTTTAAAGAATCCAGGTCAGTTGCCATGTAGAATATCCAGCAATCTGGATTTATGTGATTGTTTTCTCATAATTATATTCAGGTTACAGGTTAAACACTTTTTGGCAAGAATATCACATAATTGAGTGTTTTGTGCTTTTCATTGTATCATATCGGGGAGGCACATGGTGTTAGTTTGTCCCATTATTGGTGGTATAGTAATAACTTGATTGCTTGGTTTAAGTGGTGCCCACTTTAGTGGCATTCAAGGATGAACCCTGCCTGTGTTATTTAAACTTATGGTTTCAGGTCCTTACATTTTTAACTAAATTAATCATGTCCCATCCTACTGGTCAAGGGAGGTTTTCCCCCCAGCTTCCTAGTGAAACGGTATGTATGTATTCCATAAATACCAGTTGAATTGGTTATTTATTGGTTGCCCAATTTAAGGAACTGATACGCATTTCTGGGAGTCATTTTTTCACTAGTCACATCCTTACTTGTGTACTGGAGACCACCTAGCTGACCTTTGTTCCTTCTTTGTTGATGGTTATTTTTGCTTTCTCCCCTTAAGTGTGGATGATTTGGCTCTGAGCATATACCCACCCGTGTGCCATCTGACTGTGCGAATCAATGTAAGTACCGGCTTTGAGGGAATAGCTACAGACCTAATTGGTAGAATTTCAGTAATCACTAGTATTTCCTTTAAGCTATAGGGAATATGTTTATTCGTTACACTTGGATGCAAGTACAACAGTAATGTCACGATGTGTTTGTGCTTGATCTTTATCAAGCTGAATATGAATTCTAAGAGCTATGAGCTCTGGTACTACTCTCTTCCATAACCACTTGGGTAATCATTTAGAAAAACCCAAAGACCCTGGAAAATCCTGCTTTGAAAAGAAAGTCTTAATTACTACAGTGCTTTAGGATTCTTTCAACCTGAAGTCACAAGTTTCTAATTTCCTATATAGGCCAAGATAGGTATTTCAGAAACATACTCTGTTTTAATATCAACACATTGTGTAATTTAACCACAAGGGTTAAGCTCTTTATAAAAATCTGATTTTATTGTATTCTTTCAAGTCCTGGGTCCTATGCTAGAGTTCTGTTCTCTTATTTTTATAAACTTCAAGTTCTTATGTCTCATTTTATTGGAAAGAGAAGCAAAACTGCCAGTGGCTTATATTTTACCATCAGATGTATCAATCCTAATAATATTTGGTAAATTAGATGGTGGAAATTAGAGTGATCAAATGTATCTTCACAATGTGCAAACACCTTGGAGTACAAAAGGATCCTTTTGGGCATTAACTTTTTTTTTTCCACATACACTTTTTAAAAAGTTGACTTCATAAGAAATAAACATCTTTAGCAATATGCCTTGTCAGTTACCCCAAATAAAATTTTAAGGAATGCACAGTGTATTGGTAGCATACATACATCCTCATGTTATCTTGTTATTGGTATACCTAAAATTCTGTAAGTAAATTAAAAAAAAAAAAAATCCAGGGGCTTCCCTGGTGGTGCAGTGGTTAAGAATCCACCTGGTGGAAGTCGGAGGAAGATGGCGGAAGAGTAAGACGTGGAGATCACCTTCCTCCCCACAGATACACCAGAAATACATCTACACGTGGAACAACTCCTACAGAACACCTACTGAATGCTGGCAGAAGACCTCAGACCTCCCAAAAGGCAAGAAACTTCCCACGTACCTGGGTAGGGCCAAAGAAAAATGAATAAACAGAGACAAAAGAATAGGGATGGGACCTGCACCAGTGGGAGTGAGCCGTGAAGGAGGAAAGGTTTCCACACACTAGAAGCCCCTTTGCGGACGGAGACTGCGGGTGGCAGAGGCGGGGGAGCTTTGGAGTCACGAAGAGCGCAGCAATGGGTGCGGAGGGCAAAGTGTAGAGATTCCCCGACAGAGGATCGGTGCCGACCGGCACTCACCAGCCCGAGAGGCTTGTCTGCTCACCCGCCGGGGCGGGCAGGGCTGGGAGCTGAGGCTCGGGCTTCGGTCGGATAACAGAGAGGACTGGGGGCGTGATCACAGCCTGAAGGGGTTAGTGCACCACGGCTGACCGGGAGGGAGTCTGGGGAAAAGTCTGGACGTACCGAAGACGCAAGAGACTTCTTCTTCCCTCTTTGTTTCCTGGTGCGCGAGGAGAGGGGATTAACAGCGCTGCTTAAAGGAGCTCCAGAGACAGGTGCGAGCCGTGGCTATCAGTGCAGACCCCAAAGACGGGCCTGAGACGCTAAGCCTGCTGCTGCTGCCACCAAGAAGCCTGTGTGCGAGCACAGGTCACTCTCCACACCTCCCTTCTGAGTAGCCTGTGCAGCCCGCCACTGCCAGGGTCCCAGGATCCAGGGACAACTTCCCTGGGAGAACGCACGGCATGCCTCAGGCTGGTGCAACGTCACGCTGGCCTCTGCCGCCTCAGGCTCCCCCCAGCCTGAGTGAGCCAGAGCCCCCGAATCAGCGGCTCCTTTAACCCCGTCCTGTCTGAGTGAAGAATAGATGCCCTCCGGCAACCTACACGCAGAGGTGGGGCCACATCCAAAGCTGAGCCTCAGGAGCTGTGCGAACAAAGAAGAGAAAGGGAAATCTCTCCCAGCAGCCTCAGGAGCAGCAGATTAAATCTCCACAGTCAACTTGATGTACCCTGCACCTGTGGAATACATGAATAGACACAAATCATCCCAAATTGAGGAGGCGGACTTTGAGAGCAAAATTTATTATTTTTTTCCCCTTTTCCTCTTTTTACAAGTGTGTATGCTTCTGTGTGAGATTTTGTCTGTATAGCTTTGCTTTCACCATTTGTCCTAGGGTTCTATCCGTCTGGTTTTTTTTTTAAATTTTTTTCTTAATAATTATTTTCATTTTAATTATTTTACTTTATTTTATTTTACCCTCTTTCTTTCTTTCTACTTTTTCTCCCTTTTACTCTGAGCCATGTGGATGAAAGGCTCTTGGTGCTTCACCCAGAAGTCAGTGCTGTGCCTCTGAGGTGGGAGAGCCAACTTCAGGACACTGGTCCACAAGAGATCTCCCAGCTCCACATAATATCAAACGGCGAAAATCTCCCAGAGATCTCCATCTCAACACCAGCACCCAGCTTCACTCAACGATCAGCAAGCTACAGTGCTGGACACCCTATGCCAAACAACTAGCAAAACAGGAACACAACCCCACCCATTAGCAGAGAGGCTGCCTAAAATCATAGTAAGTCCACAGACACCCCAAAACACACCACCAGACGTGGACCTGCCCACCAGAAAGACAATATCCAGCCTCACCACCAGAACACAGGCAGTAGTCCCCTTCACCAGGAAGCATACACAACCCACTGAACCAACTTTAGCCACTGGGGACAGACACCAAAAACAATGGGAACTACAAACCTGCAGCCTACAAAAAGGAGACCCCAAACACAGTAAGATAAGCAAAATGAGAAGACAGAAAAACACACCGCAGATGAAGGAGCAAGATAAAAACCCACCAGAAATAACAAATGAAGAGGAAATAGGCAGTCTACCTGAAAAAGAATTCAGAATAATGATAGTAAAGATGATCCAAAATCGTGGAAGTAGAGTAGAGAAAATGCAAGAAACATTTAACAAGACCTAGAAGAAATAAAGATGAAACAACCAACGATGAACAACACAATAAATGAAATGAAAAATACTCTAGATGGGATCAATAGCAGAATAAATGAGGCAGAAGAACGGATAAGTGACCTGGAAGATAAAATAGTGGAAATAACTACTGCAGAGCAGAATAAAGAAAAAAGAATGAAAAGAACTGAGGACAGTCTCAGAGACCTCTGGGACAACATTAAACGCACCAACATTCGAATTATAGGGGTTCCAGAAGAAGAAGAGAAAAAGAAAGGGACTGAGAAAATATTTGAAGAGATTATAGTTGAAAACTTCCCTAATATGGGAAAGGAAATAGTTAATCAAGTCCAGGAAGCACAGAGAGTCCCATACAGGATAAATTCAAGGAGAAATACGCCAAGACACATATTAATCAAACTGTCAAAAACTAAATACAAAGAAAGCATATTAAAAGCAGCAAGGGAAAAACAACAAATAACACACAAGGGAATCCCCATAAGGTTAACAGCTGATCTCTCAGCAGAAACTCTACAAGCCAGAAGGGAGTGGCAGGACATACTGAAAGTGATGAAGGAGAAAAACCTGCAACCAAGATTACTCTACCCAGCAAGGATCTCATTCAGATTTGATGGAGAAATTAAAACCTTTACAGACAAGCAAAAGCTGAGAGAGTTCAGCACCACCAAACCAGCTTTACAACAAATGCTAAAGGAACTTCTCTAGACAAAAACACAAGAGAAGGAAAAGTCCTATAATAACGAACCCAAAACAATTTAGAAAATGGGAATAGGAACATACATATCGATAATTACCTTAAATGTAAATGGACTAAATGCTCCCACCAAAAGACACAGATTGGCTGAATGGATACAAAAACAAGACCCATATATATGCTGTCTACAAGAGACCCACTTCAGACCTAGAGACACATACAGACTGAAAGTAAGGGGATGGAAAAAGATATTCCATGCAAATGGAAACCAAAAGAAAGCTGGAGTAGCAATTCTCATATCAGACAAAATAGACTTTAAAATAAAGACTATTAGAAGAGACAAAGAAGGACACTACATAATGATCAAGGGATCGATCCAAGAAGAAGATATAACAATTGTAAATATTTATGCACCCAACATAGGAGCACCTCAATACATAAGGCAAAAACTAGCAGCCATAAAAGGGGAAATCGACAGTAACACATTCATAGTAGGGGACTTCATTAACACCCCACTTTCACCAATGGACAGATCATCCAAAATGAAAAATAAGGAAACACAAGCTTCAAATGATACATTAAACGAGATGGACTTAATTGATATTTACAGGACATTCCATCCAAAAACAACAGAATACACATTTTTCTCAAGTGCTCATGGAACATTCTCCAGAATAGGTCATATCTTGGGTCACAAATCAAGCCTTGGTAAACTTAAGAAAATTGAAACTGTATCAAGTATCTTTTCTGACCACAACGCTATGAAACTAGATATCAATTATAGGAAAAGATGTGTAAAAAATACAAACCCATGGAGGCTAAACAGTACACTACTTAATAACGAAGTGATCACTGAAGAAATCAAAGAGGAAATAAAAAAATACCTAGAAACAAATGACAATGGAGACACAATGACCCAAAACCAATGGGATGCAGCAAAAGCAGTTCTAAGAGGGAAGTTTATAGCAATACAATCCTACTTTAAGAAACAGGTAACATCTCGAATAAACAACCTAACCTTGCACCTAAGGCAATTAGAGAAAGAAGAACAAAGAAAACCCAAAGTTAGCAGAAGGAGAGGAATCATAAAGATCAGATCAGAAATAAATGAAAAAGAAATGAAGGAAACGATAGCAGAGATCAATAAAACTAAAAGCTGGTTCTTTGAGAAGATAAACAAAATTGATAAACCATTAGCCAGACTCATCAAGAAAAAAAGGGAGAAGACTCAAATCAATAGAATCAGAAATGAAAAAGGAGAAGTAACAACTGACACTGCAGAAATACAAAAAATCATGAGGGATTACTACAAGCAACTCTATGCCAATAAAATGGACAATCTGGAAGAAATGGACAAATTCTTAGAAATGCACAAACTGCCAAGACTGAATCAGGAAGAAATAGAAAATATGAACAGACCAATCACAAGCACTGAAATTGAAACTGTGATTAAAAATCTTCCAACAAAGAAAAGCCCAGCACCAGATGGCTTCACAGGCGAATTCTATCAAACATTTGGAGAAGAGCTAACACCTATCCTTCTCAAACTCTTCCAAAATATAGCAGAGGGAGCAACACTCCCAAACTCATTCTACGAGGCCACCATCACTCTAATACCTAAACCAGACAAGGATGGCACAAAGAAAGAAAACTACAGGCCAATATCACTGAGGAACATACATGCAAAAATCCTCAACAAAATACTAGCAAACAGAATCCAACAGTACATTAAAAGGATCATAGAACATGATCAACTGGGGTTTATCCCAGGAATGCAAGTATTCTTCAGTATACGCAAATCAATCAACGTGATACACCATATTAACAAATTGAAGGAGAAAAACCATATGATCATCTCAATAGATGTTGAGAAAGCTTTTGACAAAATTCAACATCTATTTATGATAAAAACCCTGCAGAAAGTAGGCATAGAGGGAACTTTGCTCAACATAATAAAGGCCATATATGATAAACCTACAGCCAACATCGTCCTCAGTGGTGAAACACTGAAACCATTTCCACCAAGATCAGGAAGGAGACAAGGTTGCCCACTCTCACCACTCTTATTCAACATAGTTTTGGAAGTTTTCCACAGCAATATCAGAGAAGAAAAGGAAATAAAAGGAATCCAAATCGGAAAAGAAGAAGTAAAGCTGTCACTGTTTGCAGATGACATGATACTATACATAGAGAATCCTAAAGATGCTACCAGAAAACTACTAGAGCTAATCAATGAATTTGGTAAAGTAGCAGGATACAAAATTAATGCACAGAAATCTCTGGCATTCCTATATACTAATGATGAAAAATCTGAAAGTGAAATCAAGAAAACACTCCCATTTACCATTGCAACAAAAAGAATAAAATATCTAGGAATAAACCTACCTAAGGAGACAAAAGACCTGCATGCAGAAAATGATAAGACACTGATGAAAGAAATTAAAGATGATACAAATAGATGGAGAGATATACCATGTTCTTGGATTGGAAGAATCAACACTGTGAAAATGACTCTACTACCCAAAGCAATCTACAGATTCAGTGCAATCCCTATCAAACTACCACTGGCATTTTTCACAGAACTAGAACAAAAAATTTCACAATTTGTATGGAAACACAAAAGACCCCGAATAGCCAAAGCAATCTTGAGTACGAAAAACAGAGCTGGAGGAATCAGGCTCCCTGAGTTTAGGCTATACTACAAAGCTACAGTAATCCAAACAGTATGGTACTGGCACAAAAACAGAAATATAGATCAATGGAACAGGATAGAAAGCCCAGAGATAAACCCACGCACATATGGTCACCGTATCTTTGATAAAGGAGGCAGGAATGTACAGTGGAGAAAGGACAGCCTCTTCAATAAGTGGTGCTGGGAAAACTGGACAGGTACATGTAAAGGTATGAGATTACAACAGTCCCTAACACCATACACAAAAATAAGCTCAAAATGGATTAAAGACCTAAATGTAAGGCCAGAAACTATCAAACTCTTAGAGGAAAACATAGGCGGAACACTCTATGACATAAATCACAGCAAGATCCTTTTTGACCCACCTCCTAGAGAAATGGAAATAAAAACAAAAATAAACAAATGGGACCTAATGAAACTTCAAAGCTTTTGCACAGCAAAGGAAACCATAAACAAGACCAGAAGACAAGCCTCAGAATGGGAGAAAATATTTTCAAATGAAGCAACTGACAGAGGATTAATATCCAAAATTTACAAGCAGCTCATGCAGCTCAATAACAAAAAAAACCAAACAACCCAATCCACAAATGGACAGAAGACCTAAATAGACATTTCTCGAAAGAAGATATACAGACTGCCAACAAACACATGAAAGAATGCTCAACATCATTAATCATTAGAGAAATGCAAATCAAAACTACAATGAGATATCATCTCACACCGGTCAGAATGGCCATCTTCAAAAAACCTAGAAACAACAAATGCTGGAGAGGGTGTGGAGAAAAGGGAACACTCTTGCAGTGCTGGTGGGAATGTGAATTGGTACAGCCACTATGGAGAACAGTATGGAGGTTCCTTAAAAAAACTACAAATAGGGTCTTCCCTGGTGGCACAGTGGTTGAGAATCTTCCTGCTAATGCAGGGGACATGGGTCCGAGCCCTGGTCTGGGAAGATCCCACATGCCGTGTAGCAACTGGGCCCGTGAGCCACAACTAGCCTGCGTGTCTGGAGCCTGTGCTCCGCAACAAGAGAGGCCCGCGCACCGTGATGAAGGGCGGCCCCCGCTTGCCACAATTAGAGATAGCCCTCCCACAGAAACGAAGACCCAACACAGCAAAAATAAATTAATTAATTAATTTAAAAAACTACAAATAGGACTACCATATGACCCAGCAATCCCACTATTGGGCATATACCCTGAGAAAACCATAATTCAGAAAGAGTCATGTACCAAAATGTTCATTGTAGCTCTATTTACAATAGCCAGGAGATGGAAACAACCTAAGTGTCCATCATCAGATGAATGGATAAAGAAGATGTGGCACATATATACAATGGAATATTACTCAGCCATAAAAAGAAACAATTGAGTTATTTGTAGTGAGGTGGATGGACCTAGAGTCTGTCATACAGCGTGAAGTAAGTCAGAAAGAGAAAGAAAAATACCGTATGCTAACACATATATATGAAATCTAACAAAAAAAAATGTCATGAAGAACCTAGGGGTAAGACAGGAATAAAGACACAGACCTACTAGAGAATTGACTTGAGGTTATGGGGAGGGGGAAGGGTAAGCTGTGACAAAGTGAGAGTGCCATGGTCATATATATGCTACCAAACATAAAATAGCTAGCTAGTGGGGAGCAGCTGCATAGCACAGGGAGATCAGCTCGGTGCTTTGTGACCACCTAGAGGGGTGGGATAGGGAGGGTGGGAGGGATAGAGACGCAAGAGGGAGGAGATATGGGGACATATGTATATGTATAACTGATTCACTTTGTTATAAAGCAGAAACTAACACATCATTGTAATTATACTGCAATCAAAATGTAAAAAAAAAAAAAAGAATCTACCTGCCAATGCAGGGGACATGGGTTCGAGCCCTGGGCCGGGAAGATCCCACATGCCGCGGAGCAAGTAAGCCCGTGTGCCGCAACTACTGAGCCTGTCCTCTAGAGCCCATGAGCCACAACTACTGAAGCTTGTGTGCCACAAATACTGAAGCCCACGCACGTAGAGCCCATGCTCCACAACAAGAGAAGCCACAGCAGTGAGAAGCCTGTGCACCACAGTGAAGAGTATCCCCCACTCACTGCAACTAAAGAAAGCCCGTGCAGCAAGGAGGACCCAATGCAGCCAAAAAGAAAACAAAAAACAAAAAATCCAGTTGTTTCTGCTATATATATCCTGAGTTATCAGCAGTTGGGACAAATTCAGGTTATATTCGTCCTTTTTTTGTTTTCTTTAATTAAAAAAATATTTTAAATATAGAAAAACTTATAAAGATGTTATAGCAGGCTTCCCTGGTGGCGCAGTGGTTAAGAATCCGCCTGCCAATGCAAGGGACACAGGTTCAAGCCCTGGTCTGGGAAGATCCCACATGCCACAGAGCAGCTAAGCCCAAGCGCCACAACTACTGAGCGTGCGCCCTAGAGCCCGTGAGCCACAACTGCTGAGCCCACATGCCACAACTACTGAAGCCTGTGTGCCTAGAGCCCGTGCTCTGCAACAAGAGAAGCCACTGCAATGAGAAGACTGCACACCACAATGAAGATTAGCCCCTGCTCGCTGCAACTAGAGAAAGCCGGTGCAGCAACGGAAGACCCAATGCAGCCCAAAGTAAATAAATAAATAAGTTTATAAAAAAAAAAGACATGTCATAGCAACAGTATTAATAAGATTTTGCTAAATAGAGAAAAATGCATGATCCCACCGCCCTAATCTAATCAACATTTTTGTTTTTCACTGTTTTCTCCAATGGATTTTTTATTACTTGAGTATTAAGTGATAATACTTAATGACTTTTTAACAATGACTTTTTATTACTTGAGTATTAAAATATTTTAGCTCTCCTTCCCCCCCCACCCCCTATTTTTTCCCTCCTTTCCTTTTTATGGTAGGGCTCAGGGTGAGTAACTTCTCTTGTTTTTTTCTAGTGTGCAAAACTTGTATCCGTTTTAAAGAAGGCACTTGAAATTACAAAGTGAGTATGAAGACTTATCCCCAAATAGCTTTTTGAGAATAAACCTATATAGCCATTCTCAACTCCCAAACCCCCATTTCGAGGAGTAGAAGGTGAGTGTAGTGTTTTCTTTCAACTTTACCTGTGGAGCAGCTGTATTGCTGCCGAGAAACTTGCCTTTCCTTACTGTAATTTTCCCTGTGCTCCCTTTTGAGGATAAGTTTTTCCTTGACAGTATAATAAATTTAACTTCTCGTTTTCCCATTCCATTTGCAGAGCAAGTCATGTGACCCCACAGCCAGAAGATAGTTGGATCCCTTTACTTATTAATGCTATTGATCATTGCATGAACAGAATCAAGGAGCTCACTCAGCATGAAGTTGAATTATGAATTTTCAGGCTCATTTGTTCTTTCCTCTCTCCCTTTCTTACTGTCGCAGCCAAGCTCTGATGTCTGCTTTTAGAATGGGGCTAGGATACTTTCTGGACCGAAAGGGAGGTCCTATCTATACTTATCAAGAGACACTATTACCAAAGTTTGTTGATTAGGCGAAACTGGCAATTATTTATAAACCATGTGAATATGATATGTTTTTCTGTGCCAGATATAAAAGATAACTATGAATTTTTGTTCTTGAGTTGCCTCTCAGAGATTCCTGGGGAAGCTGCCTTATTCCCTATTTGCAATAACGTGTGTCGTTTCATTGTTAAAGATGTTGATAGTCTCAATAAAATGCTAACCTGCTAGTGCTTAAATGAGTACCTTTCCAAAGTCTTTTCTACCAGAAATATGTGGGTTGAGGCTAACAACATTGCTTTTGTTTAGGTTTATAGGTCTAAAGATCTGATTCTGCTCAGAAATATATTTAGAAGAAAAAGACTTGACTTTTTTTAGAGCAGATGTCTCCAGAACCCCTCTTAGTACTTCAGCATGTTATAGAATATAATTATTCTTACCAGAAAGTTCTTCTGAATATTATTCCAGTTTACTCCATGCCTCTATTGGTATTGAGCTTGTGAAAATTAATAAAGGGAAACCTTATTTAAAATGGAGTTGAGAGGCCAGAAGGGGCTGGGGGGGGGGGGGCGGCTCTCATGCAGTACCACTCTAGGTCAGTAACAGGAAGGACTGTCAGTTACAGACAGGAATGATGTATATTGCCTCTCCTAGGAGAAACTGACTACCCCAGCTACTAAGCCAGTGAGTCGAACCCCTCATCACCCTGAATTCTTGCTTTCCTCCATGGAATTTTGTTCAGAACTCCCAGCTTCCTCCTTTTCACTCCTTCATTTGTGGGACTTGCCTGTGGCTTTTACTATAGGCTGTTTGACCCGAATTGCAGTTCTTTGTTATTCCTGAATAAACCCATCTTGCTGGTAAAATAACTGGCTGTTTTTTTAGGTTAACAAGCTCAGTTGTTAGGTTTGTTCACCTTATTGAACAGGGTTGTTTTCCTTATACATACTTGTATTGTTGTTCTCTATTTTGTATTACGTATCCCCAAATGTAAGTACAAAATTTTTATAAATCAAGAAATTTTAAATGTATAAGAGAGTTTATATAATATTAAGAGCCTCTTCAGTTAATCCTTTTGCAAAACCATCGCCAGTTAATTATATTTTTGCATCAGTCTGGAAAGTCACATCTTGGAAAGCAAGGTAAACCTGGAAGGTCATATCTTAGAGAGCAAGGTACACAGTGATGTATATTCTGGTGACCTGACTTAGGCCTTATGTATGTACTACAGGTCTCCACACTTCTATTGCTGGTCCTTTGTCTTGTATAGATGTACTTCATCACATCTGCCCTTCTGATGTCCCCATGGTCTCTTTAGGTATAATCAGCAACAGCAGCTATCCTCTTTTTTAATTCCCACCACCCTTCTTTGTTATCTTTAGTAGTTTGTTGTATTTTTTAGATTCTACATATAAGTGATATCATACAGTATTTATAGTTCTCTGTCTGACTTATTTCACTTAGCATAGTACCCTCCAAGTCCAGCAGCCATTCTTTTGAGAGACTAGCATGTACTTGGGGTCGAAATTCCTTGAGTCAAGAGTTTTATTTTACTTTTATAAAGTGCCATTCTGTACTTTTAAAAAGTGTTATAAGGAAAAGGAACTAAAATCAAACAGAGTATTAAAGCAACAAAATGTAAGCAAACAAAAAAACTTGTAACTTTGTACAAAAGGAGTCCAGTTCTTTTATCTTTCTTTATAGGTCCTATTTTCTTTTTCTTTTTTTAAATAGGTCCTTTTTTCTTTATACTTAATAATTGTGTATTTTTCTACTGGACCAAATTTATGTTATTGACATCAGACTTAATTGTGAGATATTTAATATTTAATAATATTTAACTCTAATAAGGACTTATCTGTAGCTGAATCTAGAAGATCATTCTGTGCTCAGGTCTCATGCTGTGTGTTTTATAACTTTCTTCAGTCATCTTTGGATCTTTAAGGATAATGGTCAGGGATGGCACTGGTCAGTGTAATCTTGGGATTACCTAAAAATCATATTTTTAGCTAATGTCCCATTTCATTAGAAATACAAGAATGATTTAAATGTTAGGTTCTTTTCCTTTATAAATTAATGTATGTATTAGTGAACAGTAAATGGTTATGAGGAACCCTGGACTCAAAAAATCTGAATTTACTTATCTGAGTACCTTTACAAAGGTTTCTTTTTATTCCTCAAGCCCAGTAGTTTCAGTTCTAAGACAACTAGTCTTCATGGGTGCCTTGAGCTGGGGTGACAGAAATGAATGAATGTCTTTTCTATTGATTTCTGGGAATCTAGTTTTGTTCTTGGTCACTCTTCTGGTCAACCTGAACAGAGATCTACTTGTCTGATAAGCAGAGTTTCTCTTCCCAGCACATTCGGTTTTAGATTGTAGATTCAAGGGGTGGTTGGGGAGAGTGATGCTGGAGCTGGAAGTTTAAGCTGGAGTTTCAGGGGCTACCACAGTGACACTTCTGAAGTTGGTTAGGTTCTGGAACATGTTGCAGTCCATTTCCACAGTGAGCCTCTGGAGCCCCACCTGCATTGGTGTGAACTCGAGTTGGGTGCGCAAGGTGTTTCTGGACTGCACCGAACTTAATCTGAAATAAAGGAAAAGGCAGGTGCTAGTTCTGTCCCAGGGTCATTGCTTTGCTGGTCCCAGTGACTCTGATCCTTACCTGCTTAAAGAAGTGGACTCTGAAGAAATAAACATCCAAGTACCTTGCTGTTAAAACAGAGGAGGTTTGAAGGGGATGGAAGGCAGGAGCCTCCTATGGTGAGCAGTTGTATGTTTGAGAAGAGAAACATCCTATTCTAAGGGCTTCCAAGTTGCATCTGTTGTTTCTTTTATCACCTGTGACTTCAGTCTGGTCTCGTTCTTAGTATGTTTGGGAAGGCTGTTTTGGAACTCTCGTTGCTAACTGCGGTGGGTACAGTGGGCATATTGAGATGTCAGTATGTCAACAGGTGGTGTTCTGCAGCCCTATCAGCAACCTTCTAGTCTGCCTGTGGACCTTTTTATGTTGACTGAGGGAATGGTGCAAATTTTTTTGAGGAGCTTTGCCCCACAATTGAGCTGGGAGAACACAGAAGTCTGGTTAAATGTTGGTAGTCCCTCCTCTCAACTTATGGGCAAGACTGACTCACTGAGTTTCTTGAGGCTGAGGCAGTGGCTCAACAACCAGACAACCTGTGAGGGACCTCAGGGGTGGTAGGAGTAGGCATCGTGAACGCTAAACTGTATGTATGTATTCAGCAGAAGATGCCGTGGACTTCATGAGAGAAGGAGCAATAATGAACGAAGATACAACATCTAAAACCAACAAGGCACTAATGTAGACTACACAGGGTTTGTGTACACACACACACACACACACACACACACACAAATCAACAAGGAAAAAAGGCAGGAACACCAAAAGAAAAGTGGGCAAAGTTAAAAACAAACTATACAGAGGAAGAAATGGAAAAGGCTAATAAACATATGAAGAGTTACAAATTAAAACAATAATGAGATATTACCTTATCCTGTTAGACTGGAAAAAAAGACAAAGCTGGGTATTGCCAAGAGTGGAGGAATGGTAGGAAGATAGAAACTGTCAAGTACTGCTGGAGGGAGTTGTAGACTCTTGCAGCCATTATGCAAGCCAATCTGATAGCACGTGGTCAAACCAGGTCATATCCTATGTCTCAGCAACTCCATTCCTGTGCGTATTTCCCCCCACCTCCCACAGATTTTCAAGTGAGTATGTAAGGGGACGTATATTTGTAGTGTCCGAGAGTTGGAGGTGCTGTGGAGTGGCGTGGTAGGAAGTCGGGGGTGTACACGATGGAGTAATATGCAGCAGAAGCAATGGACTTGACATGTGGATGAATCGTAAAAACATAGTTCTGAGTGAAAAGAAAAAGAATTAGACGTAACACCATTTACGTAAGTTAAGAATACAGTACTCATGAAGCAACAGTACTCATACATACTAAAAAAGGGATATGAAGGGTGGTAGTGGGAATGGGGGTAGGGAATAGGAGTAAAAGAGAATGTGTAAATAAACAAAATTCTGTATTGTGTTGTCACTAGTAGAATGCAGCTCTCTGGCTTCACTGAGAGGCAGCCTACCCTCCCTGTGGCATTCCCTCCCACCCAGCCCTAACCCCCTCACCTGCATTCACCAGCAATACCCAGGCTCTCCCTGTGTGACCAGAGCTGCGGCCAGCTTCAGGTGCCCGAGAGGCACAGAGCCTCCTCCGTCACTCCTGCACCCACATTGGTGGCCCCAGGATGAGAGAGGCCCTAATCCTTTAGTTCAACTCTGGCAGGTATTTGCTCTGTCTCCACAGACAAAGCAAAAAGACAGTCATCGATCTTGGGTTCCTGCCTTTCTGACCAGTTGAGATGTTTTTTTGGGTTGAGAAGCTTGCAGTCTCTCACCTGTAGCTCTTCTCTCTGTGAACGAGTCCCCTTCCGAAGATGGAGATCACACAGCCCTTCATGGGAGCATCTAAGGAGTTATGGATGCTGACTGAGGCCGTAAGGGGCTGGTGTTGCTCTGCTGTCTCTGGCATCTGTGGGAGATGCCAAGAGCACAGAGCTGCAGTCACTCCTTCCCCTCCTGGCCACCCTCCCTGAAGCCTCCTCAGTTACTCTCCTAGCTCTGCCATCCTCACCCAAACTCCACAGCTGACTTCTCTACCCCTCTACCTGCTCTTCCTGCATTTACTCTCACCCTTGACCCATCACTGACAACCTCTGATGGTGCCTTTCCCTCACTTAGAAACTTTGGAGGGTTTCCCATTGTCCTCAGAATCCAGCTTCGGTTGGCATTCAGAGCCCTTCTTGATCTGCCCCCAGTCTACCTGCAGGCTCATCTGTTCCTCCCCTGACTGCAAGACACCCCAGCCTCTTCGGGCACCTTTGGAGCCTCAATGCATCCCTCAGGCTCCCCTCCTTTGGGCCTCTTTACTCAGCCTTCTGTCTGCAAGGGCCTTCCCCCACCTCTGCACTGAAAGCTTACCCATTTTTCAAGGTCCAACACAAATGCCACATCCTCCATGAAGTCTTCCCCAAACCCACCAGCTGGAACTAATCCCCTTTACTTCACTTGTCCCAGAGCGACTTTGTACCTCTCCTAAAGCTCTGACATAAAAGACCACACGTTGTGTCTCCCTTGCCCAACTGTAATAACCTCTTCCAGAGCAGAGACCAGGTCACATTCGTTTTGGTCTGGGTAGACATGTGGAAATTGTACTGGACCAA